ATTTGAATCTACAATATTTAATTAAATATTAAATATGCTGTACATTCATACGTCCAAATGGAAATTCAGTTTAAACAGCAAGCAATCGCTTCAAGCAATCTCTTTAATTTGACTCAGTGTACAGAAGTCTCGTATATCTTTAATAATAAATGTACATGGACATGCGACAATGCATGGCTAAGTACCAACGATGAAAATACGTTGCAGGATCTAAACGACAGATTCAAAGAAGAGGAGGACACGAGGAACAATCTGTTCCAAAATAAGAAGAAACTCGAGCAGGAAGTCGCGGGTCTCAAGAAAGACATCGAGGATCTCGAGCTGAACCTGCAGAAGTCAGAGCAGGACAAGGCGACGAAGGATCACCAGATCCGCAATTTGAACGATGAGATCGCGCACCAAGACGAGCTGATCAACAAATTGAACAAGGAGAAGAAGAACCAAGGCGAGGTCAACCAAAAGACTGCCGAAGAGCTCCAAGCTGCCGAAGACAAGGTTAATCACCTTAACAAAGTCAAGGTGAAACTCGAACAAACTCTCGACGAACTCGAAGACTCCCTCGAACGTGAAAAGAAATCACGGTTAGTATTAATACAATAATACTAAGTGATCTCATCTTGTCAAAGAAATTGAACACATGGTATTTTCATGATTGAAAATGATTGTGGCCTTTTACAGAGCCGATGTTGAGAAAGCTAAACGAAAGGTGGAGGGTGACCTGAAACTCACACAGGAAGCCGTTGCCGATCTCGAGAGAAACAAGAAGGAACTCGAACAGACCATCCAACGTAAGGACAAGGAACTCTCGTCTTTGACTGCCAAACTTGAAGACGAACAGTCCTTGGTCGGCAAACTGCAGAAACAGATCAAGGAACTGCAAGCTCGTATCGAAGAACTCGAAGAAGAGGCAAGTTCTCAACATCTGTTCTTTGATATTGGAACTTACGTACAGCGTGGCAGTAAGGAATCGGAATAAATTCATTGTACTCCATGCAGATTGAAGCTGAACGTGGCTCTCGCGTGAAAGCTGAGAAACAGCGCAGCGACTTGGCACGAGAACTCGAGGAACTTGGCGAGCGTCTCGAGGAAGCTGGTGGTGCTACCTCCGCTCAGATCGAGCTCAACAAGAAGAGAGAAGCCGAACTTACCAAGCTGCGCAGAGACCTCGAGGAGGCTAACATCCAGCATGAAGCCACCCTCGCCAGCTTGCGCAAGAAGCACAACGACGCCGTCGCCGAGATGGGAGAACAAATCGACACCCTTAACAAACTCAAGGCTAGGTAAGCTGATACAGACATTTATCTATTTACTTGACAATGCTCGACAAGGAATTGAATCAATCGCACTTCTATTTTTTTTTTTCAATTTTGTAATTAGAATTCGTTATGTTAAAAATTTGTAAAGAGCCAGGGATATAATTACGTATTTCTAACAGAGCTGAAAAAGGACGTCATGACATTCACTCCGAACTGAACGCTTCTCGTGCGACAACGGATCAGGTTGCCAGGGAGAAGGTACAATCAAAACGCAAAGAATGTGTCGAACCTCGTGATTTTTTTCAGAATTGTTCGTCCATCTCGTCTCTTGTCGAATGTTTCTCTATGTCATGAAAGTTACAGCATGGTTCCAAAATTATTGTCCGGTTCCCAAATGATATTGGCAGTCGAACGTTCACGGAATGACAAACCTCCTTTAACATTTTCAGGTTCCCGATCAATAATAAAATAAAATTAATTAGGTTCCTCTGTCGATAGTGAAATGGTGAAATTATTCTAATTATTCCTGCCGATTCCTTGTCACTAATCACCCACTTTACATTTGTTTTCATGGAAAATAGGGTTGAAAAGGAGAAGGTTCAGTACTTCAGCGAATTAAATGACATGCGCGGGTCCGTAGATCAACTGAGCAACGAGAAGGTAAGATCCCTTGTTCGCGGAACCATTAAAAGATCCAGCAAATTAACGCAACTAACAGCTTTATCAGGCAGCTGACAAGGAAGCAGGAGAACAACAGAATTTATCATAAACGTTATATCGGTCTCCAACTGTGACACGCGTCGTCAGAAAGTGTGTACCAGCTTGCAAAGCTTGCTCCCCGCGTGCGTCTCTGTTTGAAGTGCAGGTACATTCACTTTTGGGCAATTATTCAGTAATGAAACTACGATTGTGTGGAAAATGATCGATTTATCCAAAAGTGAATTCGCCTAAACCTAATAGAATTGATCAAGATGTCTGACACACGAAATGTTTTAATCAGGCTGCCCAAGAGAAGATCGTGAAACAATTGCAACACCAACTGAATGAGACCCAGGGCAAACTCGAGGAAGTGAACCGCACTTTGAACGACTTCGATGCTGCCAAGAAGAAGCTGTCGATCGAGAACAGCGACTTGCTCCGTCAATTGGAGGAGGCCGAGTCTCAGGTCAGCCAGCTTTCCAAGATCAAGATCTCGCTGACGACCCAGCTCGAGGACACGAAACGATTGGCGGACGAGGAATCGAGGGAACGCGCTACTCTGCTTGGCAAATTCCGCAACCTGGAACACGACCTGGACAACATTCGGGAACAAGTCGAGGAGGAGGCCGAAGGAAAAGCCGACCTCCAGAGGCAGCTCAGCAAGGCGAACGCGGAGGCACAACTATGGCGCACCAAATACGAATCCGAGGGCGTTGCACGTGCGGAGGAACTCGAGGAAGCGAAGAGGAAGCTGCAGGCGCGACTCGCAGAAGCAGAGGAGACCATCGAATCTCTCAACCAGAAGGTCATCGCGCTCGAGAAGACGAAACAGAGACTGTCCACGGAGGTGGAAGACCTACAGATCGAAGTGGACCGCGCGACTGCAATTGCGAACGCTGCCGAGAAGAAACAGAAGGCCTTCGACAAGATTATTGGCGAATGGAAACTCAAGGTCGACGATCTTGCTGCCGAGCTCGATGCCAGCCAGAAGGAGTGCCGCAACTACAGCACGGAACTATTCAGGCTCAGAGGTATTTCGGTCATTCTTGATAGCTATCATTCGTTATCAGTAGACTGTGGATTTTATTTATAGAAAAATAACATTTTCTACACTGATATTACAAACGATTTAGTTTTCATAAAGATCCGAAGTCTGATTATCAGTAATAAATATTACGGGAAAAAATACATTATATCTTGGCAATTCCATCAATCAATTAATGTGCTGACTTATTCCTGAACAGGTGCATACGAAGAGGGACAGGAACAGCTGGAGGCAGTACGTCGCGAGAACAAGAACCTCGCCGACGAGGTGAAAGACCTGTTGGACCAGATCGGCGAAGGTGGACGCAACATTCACGAGATCGAGAAGGCGAGGAAGCGCCTGGAGGCTGAGAAGGATGAACTTCAAGCCGCCCTCGAGGAAGCCGAGGCTGCCCTGGAACAGGAAGAGAACAAGGTGTTGCGCAGCCAGCTTGAATTGAGCCAGGTCAGACAGGAGATCGACCGACGCATCCAGGAGAAGGAAGAGGAATTCGAGAACACCAGAAAGAACCACCAGCGCGCACTCGACTCGATGCAAGCATCGCTTGAAGCCGAAGCCAAGGTAAACAGAAGAACATTATTATGAATAATTTCTGAATCGAAAAAGGGTGAAAATATGTACCTTTTTGTCAATGTTTCTTCAACGCGATGAGGCATCCAAGAGATTGCTCCAATATATTAAGTACTCAATTCCTAAAAAATCAATTTGTGAATTTTTCAAGCTAGTCGCCCTATTGGATTGATATGGAGTTTCACTTCTCAATACTTTCCAAATCAATAGATGAACAATCCATTATAGTTTCAATCAAGCATGATTGTAATTAAAAATTTGAACCTACCCAGGGCAAAGCTGAGGCGCTGCGCATGAAGAAGAAACTGGAGGCCGACATCAACGAGCTCGAGATCGCTCTGGATCACGCCAACAAGGCGAACGCTGAAGCCCAGAAGAATATCAAGAGATACCAGCAACAACTGAAGGATGTGCAGACTGCGCTTGAGGAGGAACAACGTGCGCGCGACGAAGCCAGAGAACTGCTCGGTATCTCGGAGCGTCGGGCGAACGCTCTTCAGAACGAACTTGAAGAGAGCCGCACTCTTCTTGAACAAGCGGACCGCGGACGCCGCCAGGCTGAACAGGAATTGGCCGACTGCCACGAACAGCTCAACGAACTGGGTGCCCAGAACGCTTCCATCTCTGCTGCCAAGAGGAAACTCGAGGCCGAACTCCAAACACTTCACGTGAGTATTCTTACTATTTTGAAATCAATGATATAATCTTTGTAGAATTAATTTGCCTGTTTAACGAAAATCTTCGTTTGCAGTCTGATTTGGACGAGCTGTTGAACGAAGCGAAGAACTCTGAGGAGAAGGCGAAGAAGGCGATGGTCGATGCCGCCAGATTGGCTGACGAACTCCGAGCTGAACAAGACCACGCTCAGACGCAAGAGAAACTGCGCAAGGCGCTCGAGACCCAGATCAAGGAACTCCAGGTCCGTCTCGACGAAGCCGAGGCTAACGCGCTCAAGGGCGGAAAGAAGGCGATCCAGAAACTGGAACAACGCGTCCGTGAATTGGAGAATGAATTGGACGGTGAACAGAGGAGACACGCCGATGCCCAGAAGAACCTCCGCAAGTCTGAACGCCGCATCAAGGAACTCAGCTTCCAAGTACAGTTTCTAATTACATTACATTTTAGAACAATTTTATATTTAGAATTTTCTATTTTAAATTATGGATGAACGATATTATGAATGCTGATTGATGATTATTTTTGATATGTTCAGGCCGACGAAGACCGCAAGAACCACGAACGCATGCAAGACCTCGTTGACAAGCTCCAGCAGAAGATCAAGACGTACAAGAGGCAGATCGAAGAGGCTGAAGAGATCGCTGCCCTGAATCTTGCCAAATTCCGCAAAGCGCAGCAAGAGTTGGAAGAAGCGGAGGAAAGGGCGGACCTCGCTGAACAGGCGATTACCAAGTTCCGCACCAAGGGACGCGGAGGAAGTGCTGCGCGTGGACTGAGCCCAGCGGTAAGCAATTTCGATATTTCACCCATTCTTCTTGCAGTTTAACACAAAATGAGGTTTATTAAAAAAAAAAAGAATTATCGCACATGGAAAAAGACCCGGAATTAATATCTCCACAAAGTATTTAGGTTGACGTAGGATTTCGAATTAGCAACTAGAAACGAAATCTTATACGAAACAGGAAAAGGAGGAAAGATAATTCCGCGCAGCGCATAAAAAGATTTAGATTTCGGCATTTCTAATTGTAAATCTCTATGTCCCTGTATAGCCCCAGAAGGCCCGTAAAGCGCCCTCCGCAATGGAATAAAGAGCATCGCGACGGTCCATGTAAGTTTGTGCAAGTGTCGCGAGCACGTGTGTGTGCCGGGAACGAAAAAAAGAACGGGGCAATAAAAGACAGTTTCCATATACACGATACCAGCGATTCTGACTAATTAAACACCGACGCAAGTCGTAATTGTCAGTCGTTGACAATTGCAACACGCGTCTGTGCGATATTGTCGGCATCGTTGAACAACTTACGTTGACAAAAATTGTTCTGAATCCCCTCCGAATCGTCAATGTCTTATTTTGTTGAACCTGTGTGAAAAAAGCTGATAACACTTGTGGGGGCGTACCTTTAGGAGTATGAAGCTTGGTCCTGATCAGTAATTAACGTTGTGTATCACCTTTATCCCAACAGATTCACAGATCAGTCGGACGATAAACGACCAGCAGTGTTCCTTTTTAGACAATTATAGATGAATCATTGCTTGATTAGAAATTAGTTAGGAATAGACATATCTTACATAGACAGAGTGCGCTGTAACAACGTCCTCATTGTATCTCGATGCCAATCATAGATTTGCATCATGGTTTTGTAAAGTATCACGTTGGCCAGTTTGAGAAGTTGCTCTGAAAGTCAGAGAGGTATTACGACCCTCGATCAATGTCCCACTGTTGTTTCTCGATTTAAACACCTGTGACGTGCAGATTGAACACAAACGACACAGAGAACGTGTCGCAAAAAATCCCGAAAATTGTTTTTTTTCTGTTCACGAGACAGTATTGGATCCTTGTTAAAGATGGGATTAGGATTAAATAAATAATTATAACGCGCAAAAATATGCAAATGCAACAGAAAATTGAACTTGATCCCATCGTTGAAATTGAGAGAACTCTCGATGCTGACCCCCATCGTCGTTAACAGCGATCATGAATATGTCGGATAAAAATGATGAATGTACTTTTTAAATTATTTCAGCCACACCGACCTGCGTTCAGACCCCAATTGGATGGTTCCGCATTCCCGCCACGCTTCGACCTGCAGCCTGATGGTGAACTGTAAAAAGATTCTGTTATGCGACCAACTTACTCGTTTAAAAAGAAACTCGATCGTAACAGTTTAGGAAACAAAATCGAACAGAAGCAAAAGAAGGAATACGAATGAATCGATCGCGAGCCAGCGAACTTTCATCGTGTCATCTCACTAAAATAATATAACTCATCCCATTGTCTTCGTACACACCCGCGCTACACCTTCACGCTGAAGTTTATTATACACAAAGAGAATGTTCGTAACCTTGGCAATTTGACAATAAAAGTGGTCGATTAATAAATATCGTTACAAAGTTCTTTGAGGCATTGCAATACTATAATTATTATATTTAATCGTTACATTGAATGGAGTTAATTAATAACAGACGTGGAGGTGATTGTTTGAGCCTTCACCAATCGCGCTGACGGTCGAGGGACGGGAGAATGAAAGAGTGAGAGTGGAAGAGCAAGAGAGAAGAGAGAAAGACGAGAGCCAGATCGATACCAAAAAGAAATCGAAAAAAAAAAACGAAAAAAACGTGGCAGAAAGAAGAAAATATGGCATAAGCGCGTATTAAGCGGACGGATAACACTGGATAATAAAAAGTACAGAAAATATATACATAATATACACTGTAAAACCAAAGGATAAACATAAAAATAATTGAGATCACACGTTACAATAAATAGAAAAAAACGACGCTAGTCACGGATTTGAACGGCGACGACGCGCAATATTATATACGTCATCCAAACGATAATCCTATCCTATAAACTTAATTGTAATTTATAAAGAGAGCCGAAGTATGTATTTATTAAAATAAATAAGCAATAAATAAAATTAAGAAAGAATAGATTTTTATTGTTCTACCTTACCTGTGAACATTATTTCTGCCAGATATCACCGAGGAAATTTTACCAGAGATACTTAAATATTTGGTCAAGGATTGTGAAATAAAAATTCTAAGATTTCTTTCCATTCATTTATTAGTCAAAATTAAATCAGATATTTTCTTCATCTCAAAATTTGTTCGTGCATACATTAAATTAATGAAATACAATCTCTCAAGCTCAATTAAAATATCTATGTTGCATTGCTATGCGTTTGTACGCATACATGCAGTTCAGTCTTGCAAATCAAATGGATAAACGTTGTATATATTGTATTTTAACATATTACCACTGGTTTTATTTCTATCTGAAATTCTTTTTCTGCTCGTTACGGAGAATCTGTTGAAACATACCCTTGAACAGATCCCACGAAGTATACTTCTGAGTGCTGATCCCAAAATCTTTGCAAGTGTCTTCGAAAGCTTTTACGCAAAGCGGCAAGTAACAGTGGTCGACCGTCGGTAGAAGATGATGAAGACCGTGTTGACCGAAGTTGGTCAGCACCAAAAAGTCTGAATCGTCGACCACATTTCGATCTCGCACCGCGTCCAATTCCAGAATACCCCAGTCCAGATCGTCCCTGAAAAATCGACATACATGTTCCAGCTCTCATCTGTTGCATACTATAAACTAAAATTCAATTTTTCTCGAATCTCCATGTAAATATTTCATTTTACCTGTACACATCACCGTCATGGAAGATATTGGGATGATGATGCGCCGCAGTGAGACCGATCATGTAAAACACGAAACTGCCTGCGAATATAATCAAAAACCAAAGCTTCACAGCCATCAAAATGCTCGGGGCGGTGAAGCACATCAACGTAGGAAGTAGGAAAGGCACTGCATCCCGGAACTCGAATTGCTTATATTCATAGAATACACTATAATATCTGAAATCGAATGTGACACGATAACAAAAATATATATCACTGAGAGACTGATTCGTGAAAATTTAAAAAACAAAATAACAGCGGACCTTACGATACCCTGATGGAGAAATGTTAGTAACCAAACGAGAGGAGTTGCAATTTGACTGATGACGCTCCTCAGCAGGTTCTTTTTACCATTTGGTAAAAACATCAGGAACGGTTCGAACGCGTAAAGCTCGAAATCCCAAAGAGTGTTGGGATAATGATGGTGACTCATAACGTGTGTTATTCGCCATTCTTTGGACGACATCAAGCTCATGTCGAAATAGTACATCCGGAAATTGTCTCTCATGTGAAAATAGTTGTGGGCGATCACCGTGGTCCACGCCAGGAAAATTCCTGTAGAGATAAATACCTTAATAACCTCGTGTAAAGAGTTATACAATTTATAAGAATTGTCTTAATAAATATTTTAGTTGTTGATCAATTTCATAATGTAAAGAATTATTATTATATTATTTACGAACCAGCGAATGCTACAAATATGTAAGACTGCGTATGGGCCGTCGCGAGACTAAGAAGAATAGTTGTGATAAATAAGAAATCGGCGATCAGATTCGATTTCGTCGCTGGTTGATGAAAATTAACACCCTTCAAACTCTCCACTGCGCGTCGTTTGAAAGTGTGGAAGAAACCATCTGGCTTGAACGTTAATGGCACCTTTCGTGGTTGGACTGCTTCTCTTACAAAATATTTCGGCAGCAGTTTCGAAGCCTTATCAGTTATATGATGTGACTGAAGGAAATCACATTTCATTCTGTTATTCTCTTTTTTTTCTATAAATAAAACCACCTGAGTAAGAGGTAACTACCTCAAAAAGTTCTGTGATATCAGTTCCTTTGGTAAGACGTATCCATTCTGCTCCCCCGGGATGGTGTCTCGCAAAACCTTCCAAATCGTATAAATTGTTGTTAATTCTCCATAAACCTTCGGCGCCGTCGATCTGCCTTCTCGACTCGAGAAAACTGTACGGGGTTTTGAATTTAATATCCCTGCCAGGGAAATAGTCCAGACCTGGTATTGTACTTTCTATTTTCTTCATGTTTCCACTTTTTATCCTAAATAATATATTTCGTAGTAAATATCAAAAGGAGACAATAGTACTAATTATGTCACTATTATAGATACTATTTATGTCATTTGCATAGTGATGGAAAGTATTAAAATCGTATTAGGTTTTAGGAATAGTCTAAATGCGACAACTATGCGAAATAGTTTCCAGGAAATGATGCAGAAGAATCAGTGTTGTTGGCAATTATCATAATGTTTACTCGTGCACAAGAACGTCATGATAATACTAATTTTTTTTACAAATAGCATTAACTCCTTTTACATAAACGTTCTTATAAACAATTCATGAAAACAGTATCGCAGTTTATTTACAATATTATCTACATCCATAGAATAATAATAATCTCATTCAATATTTGTTATTATATACAATTAAATACTTAATTTAAATATTAATTTTTCCTCCTTATTATTATGAAAATAACAAACTGAAATATACTTGGATTCTTCCAATTATACTCTCGACTGAAGGACAATATCTCTCACACGAAGTAAGATAACAATATCAAGTATAATTGTTTATATTCAAAACGAAACTACAATTCATGATTAGTAAAAAAAGCAGCTTATTATAGATAGGGCAGTTAAAAAATTTTTACGAGAGATAAATTGATAAAACGTAGAGATGTAACTGTTTATGTAACATTTTAATATTGGAATACTTTACTTTCTGTTTCAATACAATGAATTGTATTAAGCAATCATTAGTTGGTCAAAAATAATTAATTTTGTACAATATTAATTCTCAATATTTACTTANCAGTAATACAGATATTAATTAGTCACGCTGTCTTCCGTGAAAATTTTTGAACCAGAAAGAAATTGTTTAATATGAATCACGCTAATTAAGCTTGCAAGTCTTACCGTGCCAATGCGTCAGACACGCTATGCTTTTAATTAAATATTTTTTTTAAATGCAGTTTCCCTCTTTTGTATGACGATCGAGTGAACGTAACTGAACAGAATCCGTACGAACCGAAGTATTTATGTACTTTGCTCCCGAAATGATAGCCAATCCACTAAGTGATACGTAGCTCACAATCACACTTAATCGCTATTATACAAAAATGCGAGGCTGTGATGCGCAAAGCGAGCATACGAGCGCGTAATGCGTTTATCTCGAGTTCGACTGTTTTTAGGAAACATAAAAAAGTAGGAATTAATATGTAAATATGTAATCAGTTATTTCATTTTGTAATCATTTTTGAAAATGATAACATGTAAATTTTTCCGTCAATAATAAAGTTAATTATACCCAGATTGACTATACCTAATTAACTAGTGTCTTAAAAAAATATATTTCTCATGGAACGTAACGTGTAATAAGTATTATCTCATATTTCTTACAGGCAAATCGAAATTCGTAACTTTTTCTTCTATGTAACTGATATACAAGCAATAATACGAGATTAATTATTATTATCATTTTAATTACATTACTAAAAATCGTGTACCTCACCTGTTTGCAGATAAAATTAGCTGAAACACGTTTCATTCCTATGAACACATTCTAAGGAAATTTACTTTGTTGACAGCTTATAAATGACCCAAACATGAACTTTTTAATTATCTACTTCATGAATCGATATCGTCCCCGTCTTCAGTATCTTGAGAAATGGTATAGATCATTATGTAATCCAAGATATTCATTTCATTTGCGTCTTTCTTTTACTTCCATTTAACAGTAATAGTAAACAGAATGCTCTGTGTTGTAACGCTTCAACGATATGATGTCTATTTTTGCTTACGAAAATTTATCTGATAACTTTATCTACACATCTGCCATATTAAATTTAATTTTTGACAGGAACTGACCTTATATATCTTTGTCAAACTAATATTACAGATAACAATACAAAAGAATATCAGGGTACATAAAGCGTTTTTTCCTGTGGTCCCTGCGGTTGACCCGAATCGGTTAACTATGGGTCGGGACTATCATAAATGCTGCTGGGGATCGATCGCTTACCGCTACCGGAGAACTGCTATTGACGAGAATGACGAGTCTTGTCTAACGAGGCGAGGAGTGGGAAGAGACTCTGCAGTAGATTAAGACAGACAAGTCAGACCGCCACTCGATTTGTTAAAGGCAGAAACGATCACACTAAATAGAATACTATAGAATTTATATATTACAGTTTATGTCTTTATTTTTAATAAAATTTACACTTTATTAAAATCTTACATATTGGTATACTTAACATTCATGTATTATACTTATTAACGAATTTATATCAATCTAAGACTAAATTAATTTCATGAAATCTACACATATCTAGCATTCGGTAGCACAAGGAAGAAATGGATGACTCTACATGAAAAAAATAGAGTCTAAGAAAACAGAAATAAATAGGTAAATCGTATTGATAAGGAATCAACATTACGCACGATTTGAATAGTATTCATAAAAAATCATCCGTATCGAAATTGGTTCAAACGAGTACACGAGTATGTGAATCGGAAAATATTCAAAGCCGCGTATCTTAAAACAAGAATGAAAGTAATGAAGGAAATAAAAAGAATTTATTCTTCATTTCAATTTTATTTTTTCACGTAGAATCCTTCCTCGCTTGTATCATGCTGGGATACTCCGTATGTTCTTACAAGCAGATATTTTGTTGTTTTATCGAAATACATAAATCGATTGATAAATTTTGCAATTTTATACTCGTGAACTAAATTCCTACACAATATTTTAATTTTAAGTACAAAACACAATGCAAAACAAATAGTTTCAGGAATTAATTTCTACTGCCCGATCGAATATATCTATACTTCGATACTACAATAGAAAGAAACTATAAACCAGTTTTTAAGAAATTTTGTTATTATTACTAACTATTTGCAAGAACATGTATTTGGTAAAAACGCAAATATTTTATTTACATCTAAATAATTTATAAATCGAATATATGTAGAACAGGGGATTATAAAGCGTGCAGAATTACGTATAAAAGGAGAAACAGTAGCCTTCTCTTCCCAGGATTTTTATGAGACAACTGAAAAAGTAATGGCCTTTTCTTTCTGCAGTTCTTAATAAAATAATTGTACAAGTTAAATTAAGATGTATTAGAGGAGAAACTTGATCGTGTACCAAATAAATTGCGTTACGTAATAATTTAAAGGAAATTATGGGTGAAATTCACATGTTATCTAATTCGTTACCCAAGCGTCCCGTTTTGATCACTTCCTGTTCACACGATCTGTTCTCGATATCCCGATGATGCTCTCTGTAAATTCCTAAAACTATTTTAACGATAATATATATCTACTTCTCAGATAATCGTTCTCACAAGAGACGCTAAGACGATCGTTAGAACAAGGATCAGCTCCGAGTTGTTCATACACCCAGCACTTTTACTCGTTTGTGGCCGAAAAGTGGAGAAATGAACTGAATTATTTGTAATCGGAGGCGAACTCATGGAGCAAACGGTATCCGTTATAGCTTCTTTGGCAGACCCGGTGAGAATTCTAAAATTGTAATCGTCAGGATCTAAATGAGCGTACATGAAGCTAGGCAAACGATCCGACAACACCCAAATATTCCCATTTCGGTCAACCTGAAAAGTGTAAATTGAGGAGCGACGATACAAACAAATTAGCCAGTAAAACTAATCAAACCTTATAATAATTTTTAATTAATTAATTCATTCATTAAATCTTTTTTATATAATAATTGTATGAAAGTTTACCTTCAAATCGTTAGGAAAGACCATTGTAATGTTATCTTCATAAATGATTCCTTGCTGCTCCAGGGTAAACATATTTTGAGGCTTCCAACAAGCTATCGCGTTCATGTTAGTCAACGCGTAGAAAAGAACACCGGTGTTCGGATCTAAGAAGCTCACGCTGCTATGACCATTGTCTCCGCGAGAACCAAGGGCGTGGAATTCATTGACATTGTCTGAAATCCAAAGTCACTTTATAACTCCAAGTCTGTAAGATTTAAAACAAAGTAAGGCGAAATGATATACCTTTGGAGGTAGCACGTTCAGGGTCTCTCAATAACTTGGTACTAACAGAGTACTCCATGTTACTGGAAAGCGGATGGAAGTACATCGTACTGTAGCCGTCATTCGTTGGTTGAAGGCTCATACCGAACAGGCCGTCGGTCCAGTGGAACGCGATGCCAGACACGTTGAAGTCACTGAACTTAATCAAATGACAACCTCAGAATCTTTTTATCGTAACAGAAAAATGTAATCGGTGCATTATAAACTTGATACTAACTTTGGGATCGGACTCAAAGAAGTGATGTTTAACTAGCCATGACTTGTCAGACTTCCATGAATAGACAACGAGTCCCGGTCCGGCGAGATCTCCCAAATAAGCGTAACTGTCCTCGCATGAGTAATCCTCGACGGCGATGTTCGCAAAAAGGTAATCGGCCGTTTTTTGGTCCTCGGGGATGACGAACTTCCGTAGCAGTTGGTCATTCCTCAGGTCGTATACGAGCAATGCCGGCGGCGCATGCTGCTCCGGCGTATCCAGCATATCAGTGAATCCAGTGTCGAGAACCCAAAGTCTCTCGCAGCGATCCGCACGGATTCTAAACGTCGAAATGATCTCCGGCACTTTGCCATCTTTGTATTCATGCGCCTCCCACGAGGGGTACGGAATCAGAGTTGGAGATTCGCGCGTATCTGTGACAATTCATTAATACATATAATATGTCAATAATTGACTCATTACCTGATTAATATTCAACAATTAAGTGAATCTATTAGTCATAAACATTTATCACTTTTACAATGGCTCTAAAATAAAAATGATTCACATATGACTAAGCAATTTGTACTGTGATTCTGTTGTACATGCATAAGTAATTCACAGGTTTCTCTCACTTCTTCATTAACAGAGGAAAATCGTTCCTTGTTACACATAACTTCATTACAATTTTCTAAGAATTTGCTCAAGTGGAAGCTTGCAGGAATTAAAGCTTACCATTCATATAAAAATAATTCAAACTGGAAACAACGCCGCGCCTCCATCTCGGCACAGTAACAAAGATCCTGTTGCTCGTAATCTCGAGGCCGAGAGGAAGATTATCTTCCTGCTTATATCCTGGGAAGAGTAACTTCGTCTCGTTGCTCGGCCATTCGTATTCCAGCTGCTTCCATTGGAAGGCTACGCGAAGCTTATCGCCGGCGATAACGATCTTCCAAATGTAGCATTGAAGTAAAACGTTCAGGAAAAGGAGAATCGATCCAGTTTGCATCTTGATAGCCTTGTTATTATTATTTTCTGCGATGTTGACAGTACGAGTTAACAATTAATGCACGCTGTGCATAAATAACGGTAATAAAGCTATTTGTAGTTCAACTTATATATATATGAACATCTATAAAAAGTAGGATAAACTAACGATGCATGTGATGCAGCGTGCGGTGATGCAACACTATCGCTGCGGGCTAAAAGCAGGAGAGTTTCTCAGTGCACTGTTACAATGGATCATCATGTAAACTCAAACCAGTGAGAATTATTTCAGCAAACGTAATTATAGAAAACAAAGAACGCCTTATTAATCATGTGTAACAAAAATCTTTGTAATAAAAGAAAACGAATTTTTTATTACATTGTGTTTGATATTTAATACGGGAAAATATTTTTTTTTGCCAATGCGATAGTAAGTTGACAGTAATAAGTGACAAGAGGCGATGCGTGTACTTTTACTGCAATCATACTTTCTATCGCACACGCTAAACAATTAGGTACACCGTTCCCTATGTAGGTCAACAAACTCACGTTAAACAATTTCCACAAAATATCCTTCTTTAGAACATATTCTTATGAAGTTGAATTAAATTTGAATATTTGTAATTTTTATAAACATTCGTAAGTTTATTTTGAGTCTATAATTACACGTGCCATTTTACCAGGATCCAAATTTTGAAGTATCCTCTGTTCGATAGTTGGTCACTTCAGACTTGCACAGATTAATCGCACAGTTTATTTATTCGTTGCCGTTCCGGTTTGCGAGGCATGAACGAGAAATCGAGGCACGCGAGCCGCACGCTACCGCGACGGGGACACGCGACAAACTGAGAATTCGCCGGGGAAAAGACGTTCTCCCGTGGTACCGTTTGGATACCGTTCAAGGCTTTACCGGGTAGGTACACCGATTCGCTCGACGGACTTGTTAAAACGCCGCGATTCATCGTTTCCCGCTATCCAGTCCATCATACCACGTTTGTTACGTAGTGGAATGGAACGACGGTGATGCGGCTACAGCGAAACGTGTACTCGTGGCAGACGTTAATTTATTTCATTGCAGTAAGGATAACAGTATAGGCGCATAACGTTGCGAATCGAAACGCGTGCGCACCGGTATTACGAAATTGTATTTTAGCACCGGATAAGGTGTACCGAGAAACGAGATCAGATCAACCGTGTCTTGTTTCCAGCTCATTTAGATGTATAGCTCGAGGACTTAAAACGCTATTAAAAGAGTGTTATTAAGTCCTGCCGATGAGAGTTTGTGAAATACTTCATTTTTTATATTCAGGTTGACTTCACTGGCCACGGTTCAAGTTACGTGACCCGCGAAGAATCGCCAGTGGGTGATACATACCTTCTCGCGCACGTCTTATTAGCAGAAAACACATTTGCTAAATGATCTAATTAAGGCCAGGCACAAATTTAAAGTAATAAAAATGTTAAGAACTGTTACACGAACATCTCTTTAAACAGATTAATCTGGTTAACTCAAATCGTGTAACATTTTAAGTAATTTTATCTAAAGAATTTATATTATTTTAATTGAGAGTTTTATCTTTAATTAACTGTTCGATAAAATCAGTTGAAAACCGCAAAACTGTAAGGTTCATTAACCGACACTGTAATCTCATATCCTGCATACACGTACGCATGTTGATAACGATTAAACAAGTTTGGCCAGGCCAAACGCCTTCTAATTTAATTTTAGAACAACAGCCATGTACTGCAACAACCCACGTAATCTTACGCCAGCGATGAAAGTGACTACTTTCTACCTTTGGTAATTAGGAATAATACTTTTGTTCCATATCTTGGTGACACTTTAATATATATTACAATGAATGAAACAATTATTACAGTAATTAAATAACATATTGTACATGAAAGGATTTTTACGCATCTCCTTCTATCATATCTAAACTAGAAAGTTGACAAAATGTATATATTATTTGATAAAAAAAAAAATGCGTTTAAGGAGTTACATTCTTCGAATTTCTATCGAGATACAATTGTTCGATGTACAAAAGCCTGCGTCGCATCAGCTAGGAATAATAAGAAAGTCTTGCAAAACCCGGTAGGTAGAAGAATAATGGAGCATTTCTCACAAGTAACAAAGAAAAAAAAGAGGGTAGTATAAAATGGAGCACGAAGCGTGAAGGAACATTTAATTGCGCACTGATTTATCATCAAAGTTAGTTCACTTCCCTTTGGCGAAAAATGCACAAGTGAAAGTTCTTACAAAGACCGGTTGAACCCGCGAGAATTGTATGCAAAGCGTCTTCGTAGACAATTGCTCTTCTCCGTGAGACCCCGCTGTTATTCGCGTTTCGATCAAACATCGATTAATCTACCCACGCTGCGCGTTCCACCAGAGGCAACCGCGTTGCTTAATTCTACTCGACCCCGGAATTCTGACTTACCTTTGCAATGACCCGTCCGATTCAAACGAATGTACAACAAGAGTGCATGCAAAAAAATTGAACATTAATTGCATTTTCTTTAAGAGGACAATTTTACATACAGAATTGTTTGAAGTTGCGATTCGAAATAAATATTAATTAATGACTGTAAAAATGGAACTTTTTGACACACGAATAGTTAGTTTAAAACATTCAAACAGCAAATGCAAGAGGAAGGTATCGCATGGAGAACAACGGGGCTCCGGTGGCATCTGATAAAATGAGTGATTAAAAATTCATTGAAATAGGCGCAATAGTGGCTCCCGCGACATGCATTTTTATAGCCTTTTAAATAATGCAATCGCTACCCGGTGCTCGGTCGGTTCCTCTTAGCAGGTTTGACTAGGCATCGTGTCGGGCCGAGGCAGTTGCGCGATTTCGAGGTCGATTGGATACTCCATTATGCAGCTTGCTTTCACTTTCGCGATCACTTATATCGTACACAGATAGATAGTTTTACATGACAACGCGAAATACGCAACCGTAGTAGGTAACTTTAAGCGTGAACATAATTTTCTAATGCCACCTCTGCGACTAACCGTCATTGTGTCGCTAGTTTAATTATCCGTAGTACATTGTAAATGTTATTTAACGATTTTCTCGGATTTGCGGCTCAACAATTTACTTCTTCTTCCATTACGAGTGCCATAAACGACAACAAACCTTTTAAACTATAATTAACTTTCTAAGCATCGTTTAAAATCATCAAATGATTTTTTCATTAACTGAATAGCATAATAAATAATTTTTATTATTCATATTACAGCTTTGGTATGTCTCTTGTTACCTTGAGCAGTTTCCTGAGTAATAGAATACTTAATCCGTTGCTTAAACGGTCTATTTCTCCTTTCGTAAGAATCGGGGACAACTCGAGGACTTTACACTTATTGTTAATACAGTAAAACTTATGAAATCGTTGACATAAACATAATATCGACAGCATTTTCTATTCTATTTTTCATATCCTATTGCATTACTACTTTCCCCTTCTATTCTGTTTGACACGAGAAAAGAAGTGAAGAGAAAGTGAAGGAAAACTATGCGTATCCAGTTTCTGCTGCCATATGTGCACGTAAGTTAAACCAGGCCTTAGCGAACTCTCGAAACAAGTGTAGACGAAAAACTAATTGTAAAAAAATTACTAAGAAACAGTGAAAGGCTACAGCGAATAGATACAGAAAATGAATATAAAGAATAGACTAGGGAGACCGATATTTCCTTGAAATCGTACAAAACCTTGACGAATGTGTTATGCTTTCATACCTTTGTTGTTCGATGTCTAGACCGACCGATATTTGCTTGATTAGCGCTCGACTTGTGCAAATTAATTTCCATAGAAGTGATTATGTACTTATCTCGTCCCGTTTTGTGAAAAGGCTTTTAGCAGCGCGCTACAAAAAATAATGGGTACGAATACTGATTAAGTAGGAACGAAGGTAAGTTCAACAATTAAAAAACAGATATGCATTAACGCGACGCAACATCATCTCCACCGAAATCAAGAGCCAAATTAATGTTATCAAACAATTCAAGAAATTTCTGAAGAAGATGATGTCGATCGCGATCCCGCATAATCGTTATTTATCAAACAATGATCATTTATTGATTGTTTTTTAACGAGATACAGGTGCAATTACCACCTTTGCGTCTCTATTTCTTTTTTTCCTTCGACAATATCGCCCGTTCTACTCATTGTCAGGCGCAGTCAGCTGAAAACAACAATGCTGTAGAAGAGTAGAGACTACTACTAATTTCTGTAAGCGGTCCGTGCAGGAATAAAGTGCAACCTAAAACTCGATTTCAAATGTTTGCATCGTACAAATCCAATAGCAATATAAACGAATCTCAAAATTATAAACAAATATATATATATATAGATAGAGAGATATATAAATATAGACAGATCGAAAGAACAATCATCTCAATTGCAACTTTAATCTAAACCTTCTATTCAATTACGTTTCCTTCTTCAACGGAACCTCGTGTGAAACTGTTCAAAATACTGTCACATATATATATAGTGCCCATTCAATCGGCATACAGTAATGTACAATCTACGATGAAAAATACAAATTCTAGAAACAACGTTACACACAACAATGTGAGGAAATTATCGGTGGTGAAGTAAAATGATCGGTAATGTGTGTATTTATATACTATCGTTTTGAAGGTAGCACTTAATTTCCGGTGCCCCGAGCCGCTATGTATATAATATATATATGTATATATATACACACAGAGCCAGCTAAGCATTCTACGAACGATCGAAATGTCGAACGAGAAAAGTGCGTCGACCCCTTCTTTTTCACTGTTACCATTCGTATCGCGAAATTCAAATTCACACGAACAGAAAACAAAAAATCGTACTCTCTCTCTCTCTCTCTGAAGGAACTATTAACAACAGCGTATTGATCAAACAAACCACGATGTGGGCACTTAGAAAATTAATAAATATTAATAATAACAAAATAATTTACATAACAGAAGTGAAAGAAGTAAGAAACTGATATAGCGGAAACCAGCAATAATCTTGTCTTTTGTCAGACGATTCGGAACAGTTCTCTCGTTTCAACGTTCCGAACGATCGAATCGGTTAACACGATTTACCCACGACTCGTTATCGATTACGATTGATATTGTTTCTCGGTCCAGCCACGCGTCCTTACAGCCAAGGCCGTTGTATTTCCCAATCTGTTCTCCTTTCTAGTTTTTGTTCATTCTTTTTTTGTACATCTGAACTTCGCGTTACTTCGAGAAACGGAGCTGGTTACTACAACGAAATACTGTAAAAATACATTGAACAATTGTTTGGGAATACAACGCGCAGCTCGACTTTGGGACGGTAGGTCCAAACAATCGCCTGCCTTCAGGCAAGGGACCGATTAGGTCCAACAGCGGTCAGAGCTGTGATTGGTTGAAACAATATGTGGCTGTCGCCCGCCATTCTGGGAGAGAATTAGTGAACGCTTTTTCTTTTACTTATTGTGAAGGAAATAATGATGTAAACAAATATTTACACCAATATCGCAGACGATAGTAGACACGTGAATTAGATACAGAAGTTCTGTCGGATAATGTACATTCGAATTTGGCAGATATACGAGTTTCCCAGAACGACAGACTATGCCCAATCTCTCGAACTTTCCACAGAACGTCTTTATTCGGAACAAGTTGATAATGTGACACTCAATAAATAACAGAACTTCTACATGTCCAATTCTGTCGTCAGATTGTCCTGCCGAATCTCAGGGGACGAAGGCAAATGCGACAAGCGTCTTGGCCATTACTTTTTAAACGGCCTCGAGAGCCGAGAAGCGTCTCTCCACGGCCGTTTACAATTTCCGCGTTGCGCTCCCGGTCGGCCTGAAAAAGGTAGACAGACGCGCGGATCATATCTGTTTTCTCACCCCAGTGAAACCACAGAGGAAGGACACGATTCGGAAAGACAACCCCTGAAAATGAAGTATATTCATAACGATGCGTAGTTTTGCTTCCTTCCTTTTCCTTTCTTTACTGCTTTCAAGCACGTCTTGTACGGGCGCGCACGGTACGTCGTTTCATAATTTTCATTATTATTTCTTTTTCATCTCGAAGATAATGATAGAAGTCGAAGTGAAAGAACAGACAAACAGGGTGCCTACTGAGGTGAATCTTCAAGAAGATTATACATCGCTCTCGTAGCGTTTCATTGTTCAACATAGTTGAATTACAATAATTTCACTATTTCACCATCGAACATACAATGAAGCACAAAATGTCTCTCGTGGGTTTTAGTTCGAACATAGTCCCTGCGCTCTTGGGCCACGAGAAACATTCCCGCAAAATCGAAAACCCGGTTTCGCCGATCTAAAGAACACCGACGATACGAATCGTTTTTGTTCTTTTCTCGTCGAATGATTCATCGCTAAGACTATAAAACACGATTAACGTAAACGATGCAACGGTCCGTAGATTTTATTTTATCAATAGACACCCTGAGAAAATAATAAAACAATAGAAGAGAGAATAGTGGGATTTATAACAATCGGACGAATAGAGAAAAGGGGATAGGATTTTTCCGATAAAATAAAGTCCTGTCCGATTGTAGAGTCCCTTTTGAAGCTTTTAGACGGAAGTTAAATTACAGACAATTATATACTCAACGATCGGAACATCGGTAGGCATAGGATGAAGTAAAGAAAACGGCGTGAGTTGAGTGTAGAGAGAGCTGATATCGTTTTTCCTGAGCACCCTCCGTACTTACCACTCACTCATGCGTTGCCAACACGTTCCTTGCAAAGGAAGAGGGCTTCACAGATCGAGTCGATCACTTCTGCCTCAACAGATTACAATCATTTAAACAACGCGTTATGATACAAATTACAAAAACCTTGATATACATTCAGTAATTCACATTTAGAATGCTACGGAGAAATCAAAGCAGTAGGAGCAAATACTATAGTACTAACTATTCGTCAGGGAAGAATGATTCGCTACAATATTCTAAGATTAAAGAGAGATTAAGATTAGTGGGGGCTACAAATTGTATACATAGTTTGTATGAAATAAATTATAATTTATTATAAATACTTTTTTTTAAAAAGCACTTGTGTAAAAAATTGAACTCTGCTGACTCTCAAAATATTTGCTTCTAATGCTTCATTTATCTTTCGGTTTTTCTCATTTTCTTGGTATGCAATGAGATCGTACGAAGATTAGACCGTCTATAATAGATATTTTACATATCTTGCAAAATAGTTAAATTGTTAATGTCACAAACAGATCTTCTAGATCCAATAATTTGATGCACATACACTGTGCTGTCCGAAAATTCAAATGTCCGCGTCACAAGTGAATATCGCGCGACACAAAATAAATTAAAAGTGTCAGAACAATGTACATAAGGGAATATAAATTATAGACAAAAGTGAACCGACTCGAACTGGAACATTAACAAAATAAAAGTTGTGATAAACTAACCTGAGGCGGCAGGATATTCACGCTGCAGCCTATGTAATGTATCTCTAATACTATCCTCGAATACGAGAATCAAATGACAGAGTATAATATGTTACAAAGCATATATACGAAATCAAGTTTCTTCGTATGATCAATATGTACACCTAATAAAATGAATAAAATACGCCAGACTAAAAGAATGAAAAGAATGAATGAATTTATAAATAACGAACTCAAAGACAAGTCTCGTCTTAGCTGCAGGGTGAAAGCCACCTTTTTCCGCGATCGCGTCTCTCCAAGAGAACACTGGCGCAGAGACTGAGAAATAGCGCGTGGAAACGGTCTACCGTAGAAAATATAAAACGACAATCAAAGATCGATATATAGAAGTTCCATCGATTCAGATTTATCAACTGAAAGATTCACACCTTCCATAATTCACATCACGTATGATACACGTATACGAATTTACAATAAAATTTCTGTATAGCTTACGATTTTCCTAAGCGAAAGCTTTCGTGCTCATACAGCCATCAACAACACGACACCATCCCTTTCTTTTAATAACTACAATTTGAATACCAGGTACTCAGACAAGATGTGTAACAACATATATGTATATCTATAGAAATGATGATCCGAGGGATCAAACTTTTCTCGGTGCCTTTTAGGTAAACATTAAAATTGATTTGATTGGGAAAAAAAAAGAAAAAAATAGATTTCGTTGCTCACCTGGGGTATCATTCCACTCCTTCGGCAAGAAGTTGTGGTCGTTGCGCTGATTTCGCACAACTACACATCACAGGTTCAAAGATGATCGATAGCATTATCGCACTATTAAAGCTTGCAAGTGTGAGCCGTGTGCCTTTTTGATAAAATTATTTCGGCGTTTCGCAAGTATTGGAAATATGAATCGTTGATTTTGTGAAATGATATTACTGATACTTCGAACAGACACGTCTGATGCTTAAAGAAAGTTCCAATAAAATGTTTTTAAGTCATTTATTCATAACAAACATATACATGATATCTTTATCGGTACTAAGTATATCTTTTATAGTCAGTGTACTAGTCGACTTCTCCGGGAATATACAGCGAAGAGTAAGACTGTAACAACACTTGTGATGTGAAGTTAATCAATTTCAAAGAGTGTTGGTACGGTTTCACTCTTTACTCCATATACTTGCGAAACGTCAAAATATTTCTTCTAAGAGAAACACAGCTCTACACCTGAAAACGCCAACAGCGGTAACTGTGATGTCAGGCTGTATAAAAGCCTGGAATCTTTGAACGGGATTTATGTAACTCGAAATTTCTTTACTGGCAGAAAGAAGAGGAACGACCGACCGTTTCCACTGCACCCGGTAAAACCCTCTCAGGCACTGACGTGACGTGTTTTGTAATAGTATAATTAAAAAAAAACAAAAAATTTTGCTAACTTCATGTAAACTTCGAAGGAGAGGATGCGTCAAGTGCAGCCGCGGCCGATCAATGAAGTGTGTGCCCACGCGAGTTAACATTCATTTTACGCGTGCATTTTCTCCTCTTCCCAGTCAGGTCCGGACCCTAATAAAATTTAGGGGCGGGCCCAAAGCACGAGCAGTGGCGGGGTGGGCCCGTCCATGGGAGGTGATCATCTGAAGCGCGGGTGCATCATCGGAGCCAACATTGGTGCACCAGGGAAACCCATCGGAGCAGCAAATGCGGGATGCATCGCGCCCGGCGGCAATGCTCCTATCATACCTGCAAAGGACAACGGACGGTGTAAATACAACCATACTCCACATAATCTTTCTGCTTCCGTTTGCTCCTCAAGTTCTTTTACATTGCATATTTTTTAAACAATCTGTAAATAATCTTCTTGTGTACTTACGTCGAGAGTACTCGTCAAATAATAAAAAAAAGAAGAAACAGAACTATGCGTGTTCCAACTGCACGCATAACTCTCTCCCTTGTACTCTGTCTTTCCTCTCATGTATGAGAGAGGGAGATTTCGTAATTTTCTTTTTGGAGACTGCGCATCGTTCAGTAGAAAAGTATGCTTCACAAGATAGTTACGGAGTCTTGAAAGAAACATTAAGATTGGATAATTATTGAAGTGGCCGATTTATTCGAGCGAAATTTCATTCGCAAATATATAAAGAGTCAAAGATGATGCTCTGTAATTACATTTCTTCCAATGCATTCCGAACTAATCTAGAGAATCTCTTAGTCTTCTGAACGGGAAGTTGTCTGACAGCCGATCGATGGCATCTCATCGTACAAGATTCACAATAATCATGTATTTATTGATTGTATATACTTATTGCTTGTTGAACAAATTTTTTAAATATAACAAAACGGAAAGAACTAAAAAATAAAGTGACATATTGCTTTTGAATCACCGGCCGACACGCGATAAATGTGTGTCTTTCTTTAAAAATATGGAAACGTAATCGACTCGACTTTTCTAGGACTACGTCGTACACCCGTAGGGATGTAGTTTTATGTCGGCAGCCCACCTACGTCTATCTAGCATTTTATCAATGCGTATGGCCAAACTATATGAGGAATTGAGCTGAGCATGCAAAGTGCCGCATATGCAATACAAGTCACAACAAACTCACAAAGGTGATACCACGCAAAACCTCACACCATACAAAGAAGGAAACTCATTTAATGTCCGTACGTTTTTTATGATCTGAGCGAATCGCTCGACTGCCAGTCGATCTTCCAAGACACTGCTCCAAAAGAGCTTCCACGAATGGAAATAAATCGAGTATCCAAACAAATGTCAAACATTAATACTTTCTGATAATAGTGAAAGCACAAATATTTTTTTTTACGAACTACTATTGTGTTATTCAAACCTCCTCCCGAGAAAAAAATGTTATCTTTTTTAATATGCCTCTAATTAACAACATATATTGATAATGCACCGTGTGATTCAGAAAGAATTTTATTAAATGATGATTCCCCTGATTCATCAATGTTAAATAAGGCGCCTCTATCGTAAAATGGATAAGAACGAGCTGCAATTAAGTGTACATACGAATTATAGTTTTATATATATTGGGTAATGTGAAATCGTTTACTTACTGTGGATTGACTTCAAATTATCTAAAATCGTTTGTGTGACACAAAAGCTATGCTATGGTGTGAGGGAGATACATTACGTTCGTTCTTGTTGTAAGTCTTTTTTATCATAATGCACACCATAATGAAAACAGTGATAGTAACAAGTGATCCCTTCCCTACTTTGTTGTTTTTAAAAGTAATTTATAAAGTCTATTATTAAAAACTTGCGATGAAGTAACAGCCACGATATTGAGAGAATATCGCATAAAAAACGTTATTATACGATAATTTTCGGAAGACTTGGTATATTAGTCGAAGTAATTGTAGCAAGATAATTACGTCGATCAATAACGTCAAATGCGAAAATATTGATGAAACTGAAGCTGATAAAAAAATGTGAACGTGGATAATCTAAACTAAACGAGAACGGGTTCTAATGTCAGTGAGTTGCACGAAACATTGTGTCTACTCATCTTTTAGACAGAAAGACAAAGAAACTCTGAATATTGTAAACGACTTCTTACTTTTAAATTGAACACTTTCAATTATAAGTTGTCACGTTTAAAGTGAGTACAAAAAAAGTGCAGAACGTGCACTGAAAGTCAATTTAAAATTCAGTTATATCGTGGCCGCTATGCATATGTATTAAAAGTACGAAGTGGTAGAAATCTATCAGTTTTTTTAAACAGAAAAGATTCAGCGCCGAAGTACAAAGAAGGAAGGGACAAGTATCATTAGAACTATACGTAAGTATTTCTGTTTCTCCGTATTTTTTGTTTTTACTTAGAATGACAACTTCGAACGACTGTCAGTACCGTGCCCAAAAAGCGGTTTCTTCACTACTATATCACAACACCAGGATTTCAAGCTATATAAGTAATATGAAGAGGTAGGATGGTAACACGGTAGTCGGCGAGGTAAATGGCATAGTGAATTATAAGAATAAATGGTTAAGTCGAGATAGTGAGTAAAGAAGCTGATGGAAACGGAAAAAGAAACAAAAAAATCATATATATATGTATACGATGAACCAGCCGAGCGGCCGAAAATCGAATTAATTTCGTAATAGAGTATCTTTATCAATTAAGAAGAAAAAAACATGTCTATGAATATACACATATATATGCACGTGCATATATATGTATATACTGCAATTTTATATAAAAAAAAGTATAAATCTAGCGTAATCGTGCTTCTGATACCGAGTACTCTACGTTTCAAGAAGAGGCATTTCACGTCCAAAGAGTCGTGATGTGTCCAAAATCAAAGTGTGGCTGTCCGGCGTTGAAGGAATCAGAACAGACGGAATATCGTTGGCCGCTCGACCCACCTGCCCAGTGACAATAATATAAATATACAGAAATATATATAGATGTGACAATGATGACAATAATAATAATGATAATAATAATATTAATTAATAAGAATAATAATAAATATAACGATGTATATATAGATATATATATAGAAAGAGATATATAATGTTTACTTTATATATATGTATATATAGAGACAGTTCTATATATAGATATATATAGATAGATAGGCCATGTCACCACATGCTAATTGCTAAGGACCAACCTTGTTGCGCTTGTATAAAACACGGTTTTAGTAACCAGACTGGGTTCGTTCAACACTCACCAAGGAGTGACTGGGCGCCCTGCAAACGCACCGTTAAAAAACATAAACGTACAAGACACGCTGTCGTCGATTCTGGCATACGGATGAATCCTGAGCGTGCTAGTATACATCTGAACAGTCATATCTCATTTTCCCCCTTTTTGTACATGATAAGAATCTCTTGTCTGTGGCTCGTTAAAATCGATTTCCCCCCGAATCTAATTTTTGTCCTCTGTCACTCTCATTCATCCATGACACATTCCTAGCCATCGGGCAAGTCTAACTTGTTTGGGGGGTAGTGGGTAAGGGCTGCGTAGAGGTGGATGAAGTGCAAAGGTATATTATACTGCATATGTCAGATGGGAAAGACTCTCTTTTTGTCCTAATGATGGATTTATGTATTTTTCTAAATAAGTAGATCATATAAAACCTTAAGCTTTTGGGTAAACTCATTGTCCGAAGTTATCTCTCTAATTGAGGAGCATTTAAAATCTGTTATGTCAGAATCAACAAGCTTAAGCTTACTTATCGTTACATTCGACTGAAAAAGTATACTATCTATCAAAAAAATATATATATACTGTTTATATTCAATGAAATGTACAATATATCACCTAATCTCGTAACATATATATATATCCTAAAATTGTATGTATATACATATGTATATGTTATTATGTCTTACTTCGGATCAAGGTCTATGCATATGTTTTACTCTCTTCAAAATAAATGTTGAACCATCAAAGACGTATTGTCCTACGTGTTATAGAAAATAGATTAATTTTGTATCCAACACAGTGAAATTGAATTGGACGAATATGATTAATACACCTTTGATAGTTAAAAATAAGATATTAGAAAGGGTACACATAAAGAAATTGATTCAAATTTGATAATATTTACGCATATTAATGGGTACTGATAGGATGCTCTCGTCGAAATAGAGATGACCGTTTAAAATTATAGAGACTTACCTGGCGGTAGGCCCATGGGGGGCGGTCGCATCATGTTACCTCCATGAATCAGAGCAGGCGCAGCTAGAGTCATAGTAGGCCGCATAAGCGGTGCCATCAATGCGACAGAACTAACAGGCATTGCCGCGGATGCAGGAACCATTACTGCTTGTGGAGGTCTTTGAAATCTTTGTTGCTGCTGTTGAAGTGCATTCAACGCCGCTTGCTGTCGTTGTTGCTGATCCTGAAACGCAGCGGCTGCATTAGCAGCAGCTTGTTGCTGCTGCTGCTGTTGTTGTTGCTGTTGCTGCTGCTGTTGCTGCTGCTGCTGCTGTAATGCGGCAGCTTGTTGATTTGCATCGGCCTGTGCTGTCCGAGATTCCTCGGTTTGTCGCCGCTGATATTTCGGAAGTCTTGCTCTAATTTCCTCCTAAAATACACAATTATCATAATCCCATTTCCTATATTTATTATCAATGGTCAATTAGAATGTGTATGACTTACTAGGCTAAGGTCCTCTGGAGGGTGAATGATTTTTATGGCAGCGCTAGTAGTAGCTATAAGATTCACTTTTTGATCACTTCCAACGCTATTATTACTGGTGGTATTCGTATCTGCATTACTATAAGCAGGGAATGTCGGCTTAACAGGCCCTATAGATCCACCAGCCACTGATGTAATTGGTTTAAAATCTGTGCCCAAAGGAGAGGTCACAGCTGTGGACGCGGCCGTAGAGACAGCTGCGGCACTTGGGAATAATGGTCTGGATGGTGGTATAGACGCACCTGACACTGGTGGTTGTATACCTGGGGGCATGCCTGGCATACCAGGCATCATACTATAAAGAGAAACAAAAATCATTATTTTATTTCATCGTCCCGGTTCCTCTTAATGATAATTATAAATTGAAAAACTTTAGATTGTATTTACCTAACTTGCATTAAATTAATATCAGATATTTAAGTCTTCTTTCGCGTTGTCTGCGGTTTTAAAAGAATAAATTATACATACCCAGGACCCATGAAAGGTGGACCTACAGGACCCATAGGTCCCATCATATGGTGCATGGGTGGTGGGAACTGTCCCATTGGTGGCATACCAGGATGAGCTGCCATACCTGGCATTACGCCCGGCATCATGTTGGAACCAGTAGGCATTGCTCCTGGCGCTGAACCTAACAAGCCTTCTGGTTTTGTCTTCTTTCTAATAGGTTCGTCCTCACCAGAACTTGGTGAGCCAGGTCTACCTCCATTTCTTTGCCTTTCGTGCTCTTTTGCATCGTTTGGTGGAATACCTTCCATACCATAAATTTCTATTTCAATATTGCTACGATTTGGCAAAGAATTAGGTACCTTATCTATTGCTTCTTTATGTACCTGAGAAATTCGGGAGACATTAATTTTATTTTCAAAGTCGCATGTACTGTTAGATAAAAATTTATTGCCATTACCTGCATACAATGTATACTAAGTCCTGGTCCCGTGTAAAGCTTCTTATGACAAATGTGACATTTGAAGTGTTTTGCTTTTTGATGTTGAATAAGAATTTTTTCATCTTCAAATTCTCTATTGCAATACCTGTATTGATTTATTAAGGAATCTCATATATAAATGTAATATTGTCTAATACTTATAAAATTTGATAATACGAACAGAAAAATGAAACAATGGATAAATTAATTTCTCTTAACATTATTGTACTTTATATATTTCGTTATATACTTTATTAAATATAGTTAGCTTAACCAAAGTTTTTTAAAAAGTTGGTCCCAAAGTTTCGAGCAATAATTAACATAGAATTTTATACCACAAATTATTTCGTCGATAAATCCTTTTATAGTAATGGAAGAAATATAGTCGAATATAGTAGCTAACGAAATATCGATTTTTCACGGATTCAGTGACTTTAACTCACAGGCTTTGGCTTGGTGCGTCAAAAATGTCCCGCGGACATAATAGAAACATTGAAATTAACAAAATGTAAGAGCACGTAGCAAAACGTGATTTAACACGGTCATAGGGTACACTTTCTTATGATTACAAAGGTGATCGTAATCCTGATTTACGTTCTAAAAATACAGTTACGTAAAGTATCCCATAATAAAGTGTATTTTCCAAAAGGATACCAACACCAGGGTCTCGACTGCTTCTTCTTTTTACGTCCCATAATTACCTATTAACTTTCAGCAATTGAAAACTCACAAAAGTATGCCACTAAAATGTTTCTTATGCCTACGTAATAAGAATTTCAGTCGTGGAGTAATTGTATCGCACACACACGTAAAAACCAGCGATGTAAAATGGCGACTGCATCTTCTCCGTGCGTGCCCGACGAGGAAAAGTGCAACCAATGCCACTACTGAAAAATCACTATTATGTACAAAACTAAAATCTTCCCTAAAAAGCCCTTCTAATTCCAGTTACTATATAAACTTTAAACCGAAGAAGTTCCATCCGCTAGTTAATTTATAAGACAATAATAATTCTGTAAGCAAATTTATAGAAAAAATACAATTATTCTTCTGTACCTTATCCCGTACCTGAAGTAACTATAAAGGAACACGACTGTCACAAGACTCCGTGGCGCAACGGTAGCGCGTCTGACTCCAGATCAGAAGGTTGCGTGTTCAAATCACGTCGGGGTCAATTACAAATAATTTTTTTATTTTTTCGTAAAAAATTCTTTTTTGTGTTTAATAATAATATATAACACATTTCAATTAAAACTTGATACAATATCATATAATATATTACAATTACGTAAGCTAATTCTATTTGTGACTCTGTTCTGTTTACTCAATATCGGAAGTACAATGGTACAATGTGTTTTGTGTTATGAGTGAATTAAAAATGTTTTTAAACTTCTATTAAAAAGGATAAGTACTATTTGTAGATTTAGACTGACAGAAGCAATTTTGTTTTTGAAGAGAACACTACCTTTCTCATTCTTACAATTGAACATATGACAAGTTTTACGAAAGGAGAAGAAATGGGTAAAGAAAATGATACTGATAATGCAAAAAAGCGAAGAAAATCAGTTAGTGGAAATTCTAATATATCTGTGAAGGATGGTGACACGTACAAGGTAATGGATCATTGAAGTACAGTTTTAATTTCTGTAAAAACTAATATTGATTTTTTGGCACTTAGGTTATTATTAGTTATGAGGAAAAAGAAGCTATGGACCGTTCACCCGAGAGTGACTCTGAGAATTTTTTATCAACGTGCGAAAATATACGCAAAGCTATGAATAAAATTGCAAAGTTGAAAGCTAGTGGAGATGCAAATGTCCGTATTTGGGGTTGATAAAATTAAACCAACAATTAAGTTGATAATTAAATGATCAATTTGAATTTTCAGGCCAAAGATGAAATACATGAGTTACAAATTCAGACATCATTAGCATTCATTGAACTGAAGAAACTGAATAGAATGGAAAAGTTCCGCACAAAATTTGCTAGAGATTCTCTTATAGCTTCAAAAAGTAGTGTTGATAGTAAGCACCTGCATCTGCAGAATTTATTGTACGAAGTAATGCACTTAAAGAAGGAAGTCGTTAAATGCCTTCAATTCAAGTAATTATTTTCTATAGATCCATTTTTTATATCTAATATGCTATCTATTGGTAATTCATGTACTTGATATTATAGGTCTAAGGATGAGCTGATACAACTTGTATCGGAAGAAGAATTTTACAAGGAAGCACCTGAAACTATTTCCAGACCGGTATGAAACAAAAAGATTAAAGTTAAATTAAATTTCTTCTCCGACACTCTTAAGTTAAATCATTTCAGGAACTAACGAAGGATAGTCCACATCAATTGAGATTAGCTCGTTTGGAATGGGAATTGACACAAAGGAAGCAACTAGCTGCTTTATGCGATGAATTAACAGATAACAAAAAGGCAGTAGCATCCAGTATTGAATCTAAACAAACTCGACTTGATAATCTTGCACCACAGTTGAAGTTAATACTCGAAGTATGTTTCGCACGTAATAAAGTCTAATCTGTTCGTCATGATGATTATTTAAATTATTAACAACTTCCAGGCAAGTAAACCATTACAAGAGAGTCTCGGTTTACCCTTAGATAAAATTAGACAAGAACATTACAAGGCAACTTTGCTTGCATCACCACTTTATGTTCTATATGCAAAAGCTTCTGCGTATAGAGATGCATATGGTATATTATTTATCATTTATACATTTGCACTTCATTGTTATTATCTTGTATTATTTCTATCCAACTTGTTCGTTCCAGATAACTCGATCTTAGTTAAGGTAGAAGGCGATGAAGAAGAAGCAAAGCGTATTAATAATCAGGAAGGTTTACAAGAATCTGATTCAGATTCCGAAAACATATCAGAAAATATTATAGAAGAAACTCCGGTACACAAGAAGAGACATCACAGGCTATCTAGAGAAGCTAGGCAAGAAGAAAAGAAAACTAAACTATTACAGAGGCATCCCTTGAACGTTAAGATAGTTATTAAATTAAAAAGTAAGAAAGTAAGTACATGTGAACCGAGTATACATTTTTAAAGTACTTGTCGATTTCAGATGAGACAAAACTGACGTTACAGTTTTTTTATATGATACATTTTAAAGTCATAACTGTGGAATCGAAATTAAGAACTGAAGGTGCTGGTAGCACTAGTACGGGGTACGCGATTTTTCTGTGTATAATTCATTAACAATGATTTTCTTATAATTCAATTCTGTTATAGAAAATTTTCTTTTTAATAGGGATATGCTTGTATCGGAATCAATTTTACGTGAATTGTATCCACGAGATATAGGATTAGAAAGTCCGAACCCTGCTAATTGTTATCAATTAAGTCGGCATAATTTAGGTCAATTTTCGTCACTGGGATTGGGATTACCATATAAATGGGCACAAAGAATGGCTGGATTACATTTCATTTCACCCGATGCTCGTGAACAAAAGGTGAAAACTCATTAAAATGACACATTACATATTATTTTCAAGTGTTTTTAATGTCAATTTTTTTAGCTTACAAGTTCTAAAGCAACACAAGATAGTGTTGAGAACGTGTTAAGAGAAATTAAAAGACGGGTTATAGCAAGATTGGATTTGTGTACAGAGATACGGCAATTAGAATCCGGGAACTTACCGAATTTTACTAACAGTAATGATCCTCTGCCACAAAAACTAAGTACGATATTACAAAAATTCTCCACAATTTCATGGAGTAGTTACTGTAATTCTATAAATCCTACTTTTCAAGAAGAAGGATTGGTGTCTTCATTAGACATCTTCTATGAAGCTGTACTTCGTCGTGGAAACAGTAAGATAGTAAAAAAATTACTCGACGTATAATTATTTATTTTACAATCTTATGCATGATATTTGTTTCAGATGAATTAATCGCAAGAATCGCTATAAAACCAGATTATCCGAAAGTAGCACCAGTATTCAATATTAGCATAAATTCTTCAACACCTGTAGCTAAAGATATTTTAAGAGATATTGAAAGAGAAGTGAATGTCACATGGGTAAAACCACCGACATTGTCCGCGCAACTTCAAAGATTGCGCGCATGCTTCGACATTTATTTGGAATCAGAAAACATTATGCCAAAAGAGAAAATTTTCTTCCATTCTGTGAAAGGACGAACGCGCGCTAGACCGTATAAATATTTAGAATTAGGTGGAGGCATTTTTATTCATCGTTAGTTCGCTACAACATGCAATGACACATGTGAACACATTTCTACGAAATATACTCTGACGTAAACAATCTTTACTATTTTTTATTTATAAAAAAATAGCTGTACAAAAGTCGTAATCTTAAACTGAAGGCGAAGCTACTGGATATAGCGCTAATATTCCAGATTCCATCTTAAGATAAGCTTGTAACTTTCGTCGCAGTTGTCTATTTTCTGCGCAAAGTTTATCACTTTCCTTTTTCAACAGAATATTGTTAGCTTTCATATGATTATAATGTTCCCAAAAGTTACTTATTTTACTACACGAATCGGGAATCTGAAATAATCGATATAAAACGTTAGGAACAGTACACAAATAATTATTTCGAATTTCTTCTTACGTTAGTGTCCGTGAGTTCAGTATATGCTGACTGCTGAATAAAATACTTCTTTATATTAAAAGATAAAGGCTCTAAAGAAGAGCATATTTTAAATACTTCAAGGATTGTAGAACCCTTTTCTGCAATTATTTGTAAATGCTGAAATGAAAATAAATGAAGAA